GGGCCCAGTCATTGTTGCAACCGCTCAGAACCCTCCGTACTCTACACATCGATCTCCATAGGAGAGCAGAGGAGGGAGGGGGTGGGGACTCCACACAGGCAGAAGCTCGGGTGTGTGTGTGTGTGTCTGAGTATGTGTGTGTGTCTCTGGGTGTGTGTTGTGTGTGTGTGTGTCTGAGTGTGTGTGGGTGTGTGTGGGGTGGAGTGTGTGTGGGGTGTGTGTGTGTGTGTGTCTTAGTGTGTATGTCTGAGTGTATGTGTGTGTTTCTGAGTGAGTGTGAGTGTGTATATGTCTGAGTGAGTGTGTGTGTATGTGTCTGAATGTATCTGTGTGCGTGTTTGTGTGTATGCATGTGTGTGTGTCTGTCTCCGTCTGTGTGTGTGTTTGTCTCTGTGTGTGTGTTTGGGAGAGAGAACTTGGATGTACACAGCACACCCCTCAACCCTGCACTTCATATAGAGCGCACCCCTCAATCCTTCACTTCGTACATAGCGCACCCCTCAGCCCTGCACTGCATACATAGCACACCCCTCAGCCCTGCACTGCATACATAGCACACCCCTCAATCCTGCACTCCATACACAGTGTAACCCTGCACTCCATACACAGCGCACCCCTCAAGCCTGCACTGCGTACATAGCACAACTCTCAACCCTGCACTTCATACATAGCGCACCCCTCAATCCTTCACTTCGTACATAGCACACCCCTCAGCTCTGCACTGCATACAGAGCACACCCCTCAATCCTGCACTGAATACACAGCGCAACCCTGAACTCCATACACAGCGCACCCCTCAACCCTGCACTTCGTACAACGTGCACCCCTGAACCCTGCAATCTGTACGTAGTGCCCCCTTCAACCCTGCACTCTTTATATACCCTGGAAGCCCATGTTTGGAGATGCTGCTCACATTGAGCTCTGTTCCTACCTGCACTCATTCAACCTTCATAGTTGTGTATTCTCTGCTATGCTCATTGCTAATAACAAGTTTTAGAATTTTCTATTGGTGGGTCTTGACCCCTCCGCAGTCTGTGGTTTGCAGAACGGAAGTAGATTGTGTGCGGTAACCTCTAGCAACCAGTGAGCTGTAATGATATGCAGTAACCTCTAGCAACCAATTAGTGAGTGGTAATGATGTGCAAGAACCTCTAAGAACCAATGGGTGAGTGGTAAGGATGTGCAACACGCTCTAGCAACCAATTAGTGAGCAGTAATAATGTGCAGTAACCTCTAGCAACCAATCAGTGAGTGGTAATGATGTGCATCCAACTCTAAGAACCAATGGGTGAGTGGTAAGGATGTGCACTACCCTCTAGCAATTAATCAGTGAGCAGAAATTATGTGTTGTAAGCTCTAGCAACTGATCAGTGAGCTGTAATACGTGCTGTAACCTCAGTGAGTAGTAATGATATGCTGTAACCTCTGGCAACCAATTGCTGCCTGATCTGCTGCAGTAAACTGATTTTGAGTCTAGCTGCTATTTACTGTATGTCTCAGAATGAGGGGCTGGGGGGGGGGGGGGGGGGGGGTAGCGGCTAGGAGGGCCCCCCAAAAATGTTTGCCCAGGGTCCAATCAATATTAAAGATGGCTCTGTTGGCAATTAACTCTTAAGGTCTGGCTACTAGCTCAGGACTGGAAATTTTGAGCCCTGCCATACTGTATGTACTATGCTGTCCAGGAATGGTAATGATGGGGCTGTGACATACTATATCAATGCCAGGGGAGCCTGTAATGGTTACCTTTTATTCACATAACTTAATACTTATAGAAAAAAACTTTCTGCTCCTGCTCCAGCACCCCTGGCAGTATTATAGTCTGCCTATACCCCATCACTGATGCTGTTATTGGACAACTTGGCCTAAAACTAAATATTTAGAAAAATTATAAATGCTTTAGGAAATAGGAAATGATATATTATTCTTACAAGTAGTAACTGCATAACTCTCTCAGATGACAACCTTTGTAGTGATACTTGACCTGATGTCAACATTATTCAAACCACAGCACCGATTTGACCCCCCCCCCCCCACTCTCTCTCTGTCATTCCTGCGAAGTTTAACACTGAAGAAATAAGAACTTGCCTGTATAAATAGCAATACAAAGTCTCATATACTACATTGAAATTCTTTAGATAAGCCTGTCATCTTTACATGCTGCTTTCTATCATCTGTATGTCTTCAATGTCCTGTACGTATTTTTTTTTTTTGTTTTTAAAGAAAAAAATTACAGTTTAGAAAACCTTTTGTTTATTGGTTGTATGGTCTCTTCATTTTTCTTAATAAAAATTAAGTCAAAGATAAAAACGACATAATAACTGCAACAGACAACTGGGTTTCAATGAGTTTATAATTTATTTCCTTCCTGGGACTCAGCACATGACAATCGATTTGTTAATAATGTTAGTAACAATATATTAGTATTAATAGTATTTTAACATAACTGTACAAATTGCACATATTTGCTTGAAACATTCCCACCACTGTAAACTGCAGGTATGTTCTTCAGTAGTGCTCCTTTAAAAATATTAATATGCTGTTTATTAAAAAAATCTTAAGAGGTTATTTACTAAAAGAAAAATTCTCTTTTTTTTTTTTTTTTTTTTACATTTCTCTGGATTGAAACACCATAAATACTTTAGTGAATTCCTTTAGTGCATCACCCCTTAATGTTATAAATCCCATGAGCATATTGCCTAAGCTTTTCAAATAACTGTTGTAGGTAACCAATGTAGTCTACCTGGAGGAATATATACAGGCTTGATGTTGCAGGAACCTGAAATCCACCCTGCAGTACCTAGCCCATAAATAGCTCTTCATTTTTCATCACACACTTCATTAAAGGGCAAGCAGTATCATCTTCTGTAATGTATTACAAAGATTGCACTAAATGAGCAGTGCTGAGTATTGCAGCTGTATTACAACACATACCGCTCCTGTTGTTTATTTTTGACACTGATGTCGGGGGTCAGAGCGTACAAATTGGCCCCAGTGGGGCACTAATGGCATCCTGGAGGAATTGATGTTGTTACTTAGTTACCCTCTTAAGAATGGACAAACATATACATACTATTTATTTTTTATTGCAAAATAAACTAGTTCCAGTGTCAATACCCAGCATAAGACAGACGCACAGTATCCAAAGGCACGCCACTGTCTTACAATTTTATCTTTTTATTTTTAATGTCTGTATATATGGTTTGTGTCATGGGCACGTATTTCTTTTCCCTCTCATCCAGGAAGTATAGGGGGTCAGTGATTGTGGATGGATCGAAGCCCTGTTTCACCAGCTCCACCTTGCGCTGTTTAAACGTTCCTGTGATTTCCAGTTCATCCTAATCAGCAAATGCATAAATAAGTGATCATGAGAGAATAATAACATATTTTAGTAGTCCAGGAAGAGTGATGAAAAAAATAATAATAATAATAATAAAAAAAATATATAATAATAATATAAATATATATATATATACACACATATATATATACATACATATATATACATACATATACATACAGTATATGCATATTCCCATTTAGGTCTAAGCTGTCATGTCCATCAAAACTATGAGCTAATGTTACTGATTGACATACCTTCCACAATGTACCCATCGTTATATCAGTTTCTTTGTACTTAGGAAGGGTGCTGAATACTAGGCCTAGGTTTTATACAGGGCTACGATATCTCCACTTTAGCATGAAACCATTGTCTTTCCTGCTGCTCTGTCCAGCCCAAATGATTCAACTAGTAGTGGGGTTACCATTAACTTTTAGAGAAAATAAGGTCCTATACATAGACTGAACCTAGGATCTAGGCAAAAAGAAACTCCCCAAAAAGTGATAGAAGACAACAGCAAGTCCAATCAGTTCTCAAGGCAAGGACTTGAAGGTACACACGGTATATGAATTTTACCAGTTATTCTAGTTAATGTGCTTAAAGCAGAGCCACACCCAAAAGGGGAAGTTCCGCTTTAAGCCTTTGTCCCCCGTTCCCCATTAAGGATTGGCACCTTTGGGGAGCGGGTACCCGAATTTGACAGGTACCCGCTCCCACACTTCCTCTAGGATCGCCTAGGTGATCGGAAGTGGAAGTTGTCCCCCCCCCCCTCAGTTTTCTGGGACATGTGACAGGTCCCAGAAGACTACGGGGCCATACAAAGCGCAGTGCTTCACAAACATGCGCAGTGGGCACCCGGATGTGAAGCCGCAAGCTGTCACAGCTGGGTGCCCACACTGAAGATGCTGGTGCCAGGGAGAAGATGGCTGGTGGAACCAGCGGTGGTGAAGATACCTCTGGACCGAGGGACAGGTAAGTGGCTGTATTTTAAAAGTCAGCAGCTACAGTTCTTGTAGCTGCTAACTTTTATTTTATTTTTTTTAGGTGGAACTCCGCTTTAAGTGTGCATTATAATCTTAAATTGTTGATACAGCAGGAGATGTTTTGGTGAAAAAAACATCCGTGGATAGGATGAAAGCAGTGACAACAGTATCAAAGGTACATGCAAGGATACCATGGCTGAGCATATGCATTTGAAGCGTGTATGACCCTTTATGGGTCATGGCTGGAGGTGAGCACGTCCGCTAGCTGGTGGAGGATTTTTGTCAGTGGTCTCTGGTTGATTCACAGTTTATTGAAGATTTATACACCGATTGGAACGTTGCACTTTATTTATTCACAATATATATATGATTTTTCTATATGTGTTCACAATATATATGTATTCGCATTTATTTATATGATTTCACATATGTATATTGGTTACTATATATTTTTTTAGGTCACTTCACTCAATCGTTTAGTTCATGAACATTTATTTGTGTAATTTATCTATTTGTCACATTTTGATGAGGAAGGTCTAACATGTCCCATGCCTTAGTCATAGGCAATTTGGGGATCCCAAGCCTGGAATTGGCCTTTAACCACTTCCCGTCCGACCCAGGTATATAAACGGCTGGATGGGAGCAGTGCAGGAGCGGGTTGCCAATCATAAACGGCACCCGCATTTTCAGCCTGTGCGCTCTCCCTGGAAGCGTGCGGCACCAATTGCTGTACAGGACCTCTGTGTGAGGTCCTGATCATGTGGTCACTGATTGGGCAATCAGTGATCACATGAACAGTAGTAAGCAAGATGTCACTTCTGACATCATTGCTTACTACTAGTGAAATTTGTGAATGATCACGGAGGTCACATGGTACACATGGTATCACAGAGGTCACACGGCTATTCACAACAGCCTTATACCATGTGACAAGCTGTGACCAATCACAACTCTCACAGTATTTCTCAATGGCTGCAAGATTGCAGTCAGAGAGAAGGAGAAATTATTGCTTTTACAGCCTTTATGGGTGTAAAAGCAATCAGTGTAAAAAAAAAAAAAAATCTTCATCACCCCCCACAAGTAGTCACTATGGTGACACTGTACTGCTAGGGTGACAGTATGTAAAAAAAAAAACCCAAAAACATACATAAAAATATAAAAATAAAATAAAAATGTAAACTTTTTATTTTAAATTATAATTTTTGGTTATAAACTAATTTGGGTTATTTTTTTTACTAAAAAGATAGCTGAATACATTTTGGCCAAGATTTATGAAGAAAGATTATTTATTTGCAAAAAAAAAAACACTTTTTTTCAAAATTTTTTGACTTTTTCATTTATATAGCAAAAAAATCCCAGTAGTGAATAAATACCACCAAAATAAAGCTTTATCTGTCTCAAAAAAAATTCTAAAAAATTAATATGGGTGCAGCGTTGCATGACCGTGCAATTTTCATTCAAAATGTGATAGCACTGAAAGCTGAAAATTGGCCTGGACAGGAAGGGGGTGAAAGTGTCTGGACTTGAAGTGGTAAATAGCATCCCTAGTACAGAAGTGATCATATGACTGAGCAGGGACATTATTCTTAGGTACAAGTGGGGGCAGTGAGTGACCATGTATTCAGTAAAGCACTATAATATGTCACCATTAAATAAATACAGTTAATATTTAAAGGGCAGCTAAGCTAACCCTCATCCCCACCTTTTTTGATTTGGTAGGATGCCACATCAAGCTATAGCATTGATAATAGTGAACATGATTTTTGAGAATATCAAGAGTTTCACCCTAGTATCAAAAGAAGTCTCACCTGGATCCTAATAAAACGAGGTCTTGCATAATTTGGAAGAAAGTCTCGAACATGTGCATATAGCTTTCTACCATCAAAGCTCTCATATTTCCTCAGCTTGAGTGTGGCCATTCCAATCCGCCCTTCATGATCTGTTTAGGAAACCACAAAGCAATTCAGATTACATTTGTACAAAATATTGGTTGCAACAGGCCTGAGAGAAATGAGCAATGTTTTGCATGTTTGTCTATAAAGCCTCTTATCAATAAAAGTGATCTTCAGCATTAACACTGCTAACTTCAAGTACTGTGGCAGTTTTGGTAGACACTAGCAGAACATACTTTATTAAATTCATAAACATTTCAGGATTAAAAAATGGATGCCACGGTTGCTGAATTGTTTTTCAACCTACATGTTCCAGGGCTTTCTAATTCCTTTACAGTACTTGCAACAAGCATTTGCCCTTGTTGTGTCAGAACACCTGATATACACATGCTTGTTCTATGTCAATGGGGCTGATTCACTGTAGCCAAATTGGCTGTTTACTTTGCAAAGGAATTTTCCCTTAGCTTAGTGAATGGGAGTAAAGCTTTGCTGACATCCAATCAGGTATAAGCAAAAATACTTTATCCTTGCAGTCAGTTGGGGATTTTTTGCAAAGTGAATTTTCACCACATTCATTAAGCTAAGGGAAAAATGCCTTGCAATATGAACAGCCGATTTGCCTTTAATAAACTAACCCCAGCAAGTACATAATTAGTGATGCACTAATAAGAACAGCCCTGGAGCCTGCACATTTATAAACAAGGCAGGAATTGCAGATCCCATCTTTCTGTCCTTTATTAACTAACAACGGGAGTTCAAAATATTCAAAATAATTTCCATACTGTTTCAACTTCCACTAAAACACTATGATCTGCCTTCTTGTGTAAGAGGGGAACTGCACTAGGAGAAATATGGACAACTTTCCCGATTTTAGTTGCTTGGCTTTCTTTGGCTTCATTCAATTCTATTTCACTGATCTGGAACAAGGATACAGAAAGTGAAGTCAGAACTGCTAGTTTGCTAGTGAATTTGGTCAGTGATTTAGAAAGTACTGATATAGATCAGTATGAGAACCCAGCAACTAATATTTGCAGAAGAAAAGGTCAGTACTGGCATGTTTCTTATTGCATATTTCTTTCCTAACAGGTTTTCTTTAATCAGCTGCTGCCCACGTAATGCATATGTGTGGCGGAAAAGTGGGTGCACACATGTGTGCCAATGGGGGGTGGCCAAGGTTACTGTATTGAGAGTGTACTCAACATGTGCTCCCAGAGCAGTGACCGAGCTGTCAAAGACAGATCCCGGGTCTCCACTAATGATGCTGGTCACATGTATAGGCCAAAATTTGTACACTGTATATACATACACACACACATATATATATATATATATATATATATATATATATATATATATATATATATATATATATATAAAATATTTTGTTCCCCCTATCTTTTCTAAATCACAGCCTTTCACATTATTTCCTTTTCTGACACAGCCGCACTGCATGGGAAAAAATTCCTGGAATTCTGCTTTAATTTAAGTCTCTACAATCTACTTATCATGCTAATATACCATGAGCTGTAGATCTAACAGTTTTTTCTCCTTGAGACCTGGAAACTATTTAAGGGTTCCATAAGATGGTTGAGAAAGGCTGCTTTAGATAGAGATTAGTTCTGACCAGGGGTGGACTGACAATTCATGGGGCCCCCGGGCAATAGGGGATCATGGGGCCCCTGTGTCCTTCCCAAACTCAAACAAGCCTATGAAAAAGGTACCAGGGGCATCTCATGGGGCCCCCTACTGACCCCGGGCCCTCAGGCAGTGCCCGAGTTTCCAAATGGTCAGTCCGCCCCTGGTTCTGACCTAGATGACAGTTTTTGTAAGCCTGGTTTTTGACTATATTTTGAACAGCTAACCATTTGCATATTAGCAAAAAGGCACCCATCAGCATAAACTAAGCAAATCAAACTCATCATGTGGTTAAACTTCACATTTCAAGGAAGGCTTCTAATGAGCAATACAAGAACCGTGGCATAGGAATCTAGCCATTGCCTTTGTTCTGTTTGGTGTTCAAATCCCCATGAGAAGAAAGTGAAAATCATATCACATTCCAGTTCGGGCAGTTGGCCACAATGCCACATACAGGTGTAATATATCTCTGTTTTTTATTGTAAATAACCATGGGAAATATATTCCTTCCTAATTTTGATTAACATAAGGCTGGCCACATAGGAAACAAATCATTCCTAAACTGTGGTTATAGGGTCGCCTCCATGGTAGCATAAAGGACTGGGCTGATCAAACAAGAGTCAGTTGGCAGACAAGCAAGCCTGGTGCCCAGAATTCTCTCTTCTATCTATGTCAACTATGATATTTGATTGGTGGCACACGATAAACCTTATTTAATAAATGAAAAGAACAATTACAGATCAATCGTCTTTCATTGTTCTAAGCTTTCCATGTTAAATATTAGTGATTACTGTGGAATCTAGCACATCAGTGCTTACTGCACTAGCTTAGGACAAAACTAAGAGAATAAACATATACACATATAAACCAGTCGATGGCTTGTAGTAAAATAAACACAGCCAGGCATTTTTCTTACTTGGGACAGGCACTCCATAAACATTCACTTCTTCTATAAAAGTCACCAGACTCAAAATATCAGCAACCTCAGTGGTGGCAACGTTTTCTCCTTTCCACCTGAAATGAAGCTTATCATGAGATGAGTTTATACAATCAGGTGCTGTAAATACATAACCCCATTAATGACATGACTGCTTTAGGAAGAACCTTTGAGAGCTTTAGAAAGCATATTACAAGTCATAATACAGAATACATCTGGTAATGACAAGGGTTTTATTTGCTCAGGAAAACAAATACACATAGTGGGGGAAAAAGCCTGAAACACTTACCGCTTCTACAGACTCTGACTGGTGTGATGAGTGCTAACCCTAGCTCTGGTTTCAGAGATATTCTATAAAACCAGGTATCACATTCTCTTTTTGAAATAGGGGAACTCTTGTTGGCTCCTTTAGCTTTCAAAGAAAGCAGAATGGTCAAAAATTAAAATCTCTCTGAATAAGAGCTTTGGTGTCTTTGCCCAGAAGAACGGTGCAATTTCTACCCTCACTTAGATTGGCAGATGAGTTCATTTTTTCCCATACCTAGAATGGCAGATGGATTCATTCTCTGCCCACATCTGGATTGATGGCAGATGGGCTTATTTTCTGCCCAGGCCTAAAATGGTAGCTGGATTCATGTTCTACCTATAACTAGATAGAGAGATTTTACCAAACTAGCTGTCACATTCTCTGTTTAAGGAAAACTCTTGAGGGCTCCTTTAGTTTAGCATTCAGATATAGCAGGCTGGAAAAAAAAGGACATCTCTTTGATGAAGAGATTTGCTCAACAGGTAGCAATTCATTTTCTATCCACACCTAGAGTGGCAATTCATTTTCTACCTACACCTAGAGTAGCAGTTCATTTTCTACCTACACCTAGAGTAGCAGTTCATTTTCTACCTACACCTAGAGTGGCAATTCATTTTCTACCTACACCTAGAGTGGCAATTCATTTTCTACCTACACCTAGAGTGGCAATTCATTTTCTACCTACACCTAGAGTAGCAGTTCATTTTCTACCTACACCTAGAGTAGCAGTTCATTTTCTACCTACACCTAGAGTAGCAGTTCATTTTCTACCTACACCTAGAGTGGCAATTCATTTTTTACCTACACCTAGAGTAGCAGTTCATTTTCTACCTACACCTAGAGTAGCAGTTCATTTTCCACCTACACCTAGAGTAGCAGTTCATTTTCCACCTACACCTAGAGTAGCAGTTCATTTTCTACCTACGCCCAGAGTAGCAGATGGGTTCTTTTTCTACCTACACCCAGAGTAGCAGATGGGTTCATTTTCTACCTACACCCAGAGTAGCAGATGGGTTCATTTTCTACCTACACCCAGAGTAGCAGATGGGTTCATTTTCTACCTACACCCAGAGTAGCAGATGGGTTCATTTTCTACCTACACCCAGAGTAGCAGATGGGTTCATTTTCTACCTACAGCTAGAGTAGCAGTCCATTTTCTACCTACAGCTAGAGTAGTAGATGGA